ATATATATATATAAACCTTAGTCTTGCTTTAAAGCTATGTTAAATCAGCAGTATCATAAATAGGGAATTAGTACATTGTTCACTACCCAGCTTATAAGGATTCTCAGAAATTGGTTAAATCTAGTTTCTAGAGTAGGAATTTCTACCTTTTGAATCTTGTATGCATTGAGAATAATCATATGTCTACTTTATGATTGGTAAAAGAATGTTGAGTAACAAGTATAGTGTAATGTGTCTGCTATAGACGGAAATCATAAATTTTTGATTATCTGTCCATTTTTGACTGCTATTTGAAAATGATATTTTTATTGTGGTTTTATTTTAATGCTGGTAAATGATATGATGTCGATGACAGTTGTGGTGAATTATTGTATGCTCCTTGTAGGCTATCAATTTTTTTTTTCTTATAGTTTAAATTTATTTGAAAAAAAGCTTGTTTATAATTTTAAAGTATCAAATTATTCTATTTTGAAGTAAAGATCGCTGGTGAGTTTGTGGGTAGTATAACCATATACTGTAGTTCAGTTTGGGTACTACATTGTTGAATTATTTTATTACATCATTTTTTTGTTTAATTTTGTTGTGAAGTACAAGGAGACCTTTGTATTATCTATCTTTATTAAATTATTATTATCATTATTTTGATTAATATTGTTGTTTTTGATTCTTAATATTATTAGTAAAGACCTTCTTTTATTATAAATTATTTTTCTTATTTATTAACCAATAATTATATTGTTTTCTTTAATTCCAGACTCTTGTTCTAGTAAAATGAATAATTGCTGTGCAAGTTGAGATTGGAACATTTAAAATGTATGACAAAGTAGCTCCGGACTGCAATGAATCGAATAGCTCACGGTCAACAGGCCCGCTCTCTCTTCCCCATTTGTCTCGCAGCTCACGTAGCTCGAGCTCACCAGAGCTACGCTTTTGCCAGGAATCTGCTTTGAACCCATTGGTACCGGCTCCTGCTGAAACCACTCCACCACCGCCGAACGAATGTTCAAACTGTAGTAGTTCGCACCAAGTGCATGAACCTTTAAAACGGACTTCAACTTCTTCAGGAACAGAAAAAAAATATGATCTACGGTGTTGTACACTTCCTGTGTGTATCGTAACGCTTCAAATACTTCTTGGATTTATAATTACTACTTTTGGAATTGTAATGTTGCTTATGACTCCGTCTGTTAAACATCGGGATGCCCCTTATTGGGCAGGCGTTTTAGTAAGTTACTATTTTTATCTTCTTAATTGTAAAAATGAGATATCCCAAGCTAATATCTGTATAATGTAAAATAAAGAAAAGGCTCATATAATTACAAAGTACATACTTTGAAAAATAGAGATTATTGGAGATTTTATCTGGTGCCTTGATTGTCTAATTCTTTGGAGTGTATTTGATATTCCCAAGCATATCTACCTACTATTATATAGAACTATATTTATATGTAGAGTAAAACAAAAAGACAAAATTTTATAAAATATACCGTAGTTGTGGGAGAGGCATCTCCTGGTGCATGGGTATTTTCTTTCAGGTACAACTCATCATCTAGGCAAACCTGGAATGGTCACTGCTGTAAAATATGGTAAAACTAAAATAAATAAATAAAACTAAAATATTTTGCTGGGCAACATTCATTATCTTTTCAAATTTTTGTTAAACAAATTTCATTAAACATGAATGAAACCTATTTCTCCTTGCTTTCGGTTGGCACATTGTACCAGACTTGGATGAAAATCTACATGGCAATTTTAATGGATGTGAGTCAACATTCGTTACTTGAAATTAAAGCACTAGATTGCTAGATGGCAGAAACTAATGTTAGTCTTAAAAGCGCTGGAATTAGCATCTGGTAACATGAGCCAACAAATAAATTGTCATTTTCCAATTTAGAGGATCATTATTTTATGGACTAGTAGGTGAAACATACACATCTAGATGTGGATAAGAGACAGGTATAGAGCACTAGAAATTTATAGAATTTATGAAATTATGTGGTATGTCTGAGATTTGATGTCATGTGTTGCTGAAGATGAAATAGTATACAAGCGCTTAATTTATTAAAACACTAGAGATTATATACAGTAGTATGTTATTAGAATTGTGTACCAGAGATGAATTGATACAACAAATTTACTGTATGGCACCCTGTAGATTAAATGTTGTACCAAATATGATTTGGTACAAAGAATTAATTGGCATACTGGAGATTAATAATGTCCCAGAGACTAATTGGTATGAGGGGGTTATGGAACACTGGGGGTTAATTATGGCACACTAAAGAATAAATTGCGCACCAGAATTAAATTGGCACATGGGAGATTAAAGGACACACCAGAGATCAAATGGTTCTCTAGAATGGCACACTGAAGATTAAACAGCACAAAAGAGATTAATGGTGCACCAGAATTTAAATGGCACACTGGACATTAAACAGCTCCTCAGAGATTAAATGGTTCACTAGAATTTAAATGCCGCGCTGGAGATTAAACGGTACACCAGAGATTAAGCGGTGATACCAAATATTAAAATTGTGTACAATGGATCAAGTTTCTAATGAGATATTAAATTGCAAATGAGAGTTTAAATTGCGGATGAGACAGCTCTCACATGCCATTCACATGTAAATAATCTCAACACACGGGAAGTTGTTGAAGACCTGTTTGTAAAATGATAGGTAATCGCATTACATGTGTGTAAAGACATGCTTCTCATAATTAAGGTGCTGATGCTTTATGTTTACAGAGAAATTCCATGTTCAGCTAGCGAAATCAATTTTGTTATGTAAAATGAAATTGTCAAACGAGGTCAATGATTTAAATTTTACGTATAGATAGATTAATGAAAAGGATAATCATGGTGATCTTCAAGTAATTCACATTTTAATTGAGAAGCAATGCCGTCTAATTACATGAAGGTTCTCTTCTGAGTTCAATTTTCTCTTTCTCTCGCATCTGCCTTTTTATCTGAACTGTCATACTGTAATAAGCAGCAAGTATCCGTATATAATAGACAATAGTGTATAACTACTGTATATTCTAAATTCTAAAAAAATATAATTGACACATATAAAAAATTCATATAAATTTATTAATAGAAATTGTTGTCACTGTGATTATAATTCTAGTTGTAATAACTAGTATTAAAATAATATTAGATTTAATTATAAATAAGTATGTGATAGATTATAATGACCATTTTGAAGATAATGTCGCTCAAGATGAAATGATTAATAATATATTTGAAGCAGGTAGCTGTGTGTAATATGGTAGACAGAAATATGCAACTACACAAGTATTTGGTTATGAACTTATTAAATATTACAAACACCGATTGCGGTCAATACCCCTTTATTAGAATTGGTAAAGCAGGTGATACAAAATTATATCATCCCAGGTTGTATTTATTGGTTCGTATGATATTGACATGCAGTGTGAGTATCAATTTTTATTGTCCAATGAATATGAAAATGCAAGGAAATATATTGTTTGGTATTGATATTGTATGTCAATGTTAGACACGACAGTTGTTAAACTTAGGGTTGTTGTTGAATTTTAGATTTAATTTGCTATCAGTTATAGTACGTAGTAAATAAAAACTTGGGTGGGCTGTCTGCTGATGAACATACTTGACAGTGATTTGATTGAGTGGTTGATTGATTGAATGATTGTCAGTTCCATCATGTTACTATATTGTATTTGGATGCAGAATATAAACAATTTTTAAAATGTGATGATAAATAATGATGATGATAATGAGAGGTTGATGCAAATGAAAATAATGCCGATCATGATGTTAATGGCAGATGATGATTATAAGGATGACGACGATGATGAGACGTTGATGCAAATAAAAATAATGCTGATGTTGATGGCTGATGAGGATGAGGATGATGATGGTGATGAGGCTGAAGATGATGATAATAATCAGAAGGAGGATTATTATGGTAAGGGTGGTGATGTTGACAAAAATTATGGTGATGATAATTATGATGACGACGGTGAGACGTTGAAGCAAATGAAATTTAATGCTGATGTTGATGGCTGATGATGATGAGGATAAGGATAATGATGGTGGTAATGAGACTGAAGATGATGATAATCAGAAAGATTATGGTGATGATGAAGATAAGCTGTTGATTGGATTTTAGATAAATGATTTGCCAGAATACTGTGTACGTCTGAAACTGTAGGTGGAAATTGTAAATTTTTTACTTACAGGTAAAAATATTAGGCTGTAAAAATAATGATGAATTTATGATTTATAGTCACTTTTACAGTAAGCTAGAGTGCCTGCATCTATATAGTCAGTTTTTGAATCTCAGATTGTATCAACATTTGCAATGCAGTTACTGTATTTTAGTGTGTTTGTGTATAATGGAAATATAATAAATTCAAATCAGTAGTATTATCATAATGTCCACAACATAATAATTCCAAATAAGGACTTTATACATGATTATTCAAGCTTATAAATTAGCTTAAAATGAAAATATGGCAATCCAAATGCTTCGCTGTATATACAGCAGCGTAGAGTAGGTAAACAGATATTTAAATACTGTAATTAGAAAATTCCAGCAGTATACAGGCTTGATTAAACAGTGTTCTCATCTAAATGGAGATTTACTGTATATTCAAATTCTTATGAACAGTAGATCACTGTATGGAGGTATAACTACTAATTAAAAAATTCCTGCAATATAGATTTATTAGCTATCAAGGAGCATATGACTATTACCTATTCCGTAATTGATGGACGTGTCAGTGACCCTACGAGGCATTGTGAAAGATGCTTTTAAATACCGTCATTAATATTCTTAATAATTAACAGCCTAGTCAACATGTGTTGTATTATGCTACAGTTCATATTAGGAAAATGGATTAGCATAATAGAGTATTGTAGTTAAAAAATTGATAGGGAATTTGACTTGTAATCCAGTCAACCTTCTATTCAGGTGATATTCTGCAATTTTGTAATTAACATGCCCGTTGTTTAATTGTGTACAGTTATATAATGGAAGCACATGAACTGTTTATCATTAATCATTTTAATGCATATTCTGAGAAAAATTCTGTAATTTATGTTTACATTTCTATAATTATCATTACGTAATAGAGTACAACATACAGCATCACTTTACCATAATTTATATCGTATTACTGTGTTTGATTGTTTAAATTGTTTTATTTGTTTATCTTTATTTGTGATTTTTTTTTTTATTTATTCAAATGTATTTAACAAGGATGACCTACTGTAACAGCAGTGATGACTTTCTTTATTCAATTTATTGTGTCTTATCAAAAACATCACAAAACAGATGCAAAAGGACAGGATCCACAGACTCGATGTCCAAACTAAGGGAAACGCCCTGGATGAAAAATATCAAAATACATCAAAAATACACATGAACTCATCAATACTATAAAAATTTATAAATTCTTGACATAATAATTTAGAAAAAAAAAATAATAATAAAGGGACCCTCTACAAAAAAACAACAATATTAATTTGAAAATACAGACTAGTAAAGTGGTGCACCTTGTTATTTGCATTTTTCACTTTATTGTTTAGCGCTAAACCCTGATTACATACTCAGCGTGTGTCTATGTATAATGAAGTATGTATGTTGATTACGAATGAATGGTACACTCCTCGGTGAAACATTTTCGAAAGTGCACAGCTTGTTGAATCACAATACATTAAGATGCAATCAGAAAAGGATTTGATGGGGGTATATGGCGTAGTTCGTTCTAAAGAACGGAATCACAGCAAATGCGACGGCACGCTGTCCATATGTTATGCGTTAATTGTTACAGAAAGGAGATTTTGAGTAGACTAGAAAACTGACTGGGCGAAATGAGAAACTCATGGAGGTTGGTTGAAATGGACAGCTTTAAATGTCAAAAGAAGTATTATAAAGACATTTGCTCGTATGGCCACTGTAATAATGCAAAGCGCCTTGGCAGTGTTCACTGTAGACTGTAAGACTAACTATTATTATTATTACATCGCATATCTATCGTCACTTCGCAAACATTATACCCTACCAATATAATAATGTATGCTATAAATTTGGTATAGTAAGGAGCTGTAACTCTGTGGTTAACATTTCCCTAGAAATGATATAAAATGCTGTATGCCAGACCAAATTTTTGTCAACGATTTTGTCGTTTTATTATGCTGTTTGCTGCAGTAGCAAATTAAGTACAAAATGGCTTTTGTAG